CTCTACTGCAAACCATTCTGGGAACGGGTCCTCGCGTTCAGTCCAGTGAAGGAAAGCACACGAAATTAGGTGAAGCGGTGGCCAAAACAACTTCAGATCCGTTTGCTGTTTCCGCTTTCAATATTAGTTATTCAGATTCTGGTCTCTTTGGTGTTACGGTCGCCGCTTCGCCACAGGATATACACAAAGCAGTGAAGGCAGCCGTCACTCAGTTGAGGGCATCCGCTAAGAGTATTTCCGACGAAGAGCTCAAAATTGCAAAGTATTTCAATTGAAACACTAACTGAAACAAATGATGTGTTAATGAAGTAATTGTATTGCTTTTGTAGACATAGTCTGAAGGCTTCGACTCTTTTAGCCGCTGAAGACCCCAATGTTTTGGTCGAAGAGATCGCCACACAATCACTGAATGCCGGACAAGTGATTTCACTTAAAGACTATGAGAAAGCTGTCGATTCGATAACAGTTCAGGACATCACCACTTTGGCCAATAAGATCACCAAATCCAAGGCTGCAATGGCTTCCGTCGGTCCCCTCCAAAACGCCCCCTATTTGGAGGATTTGCTCTAATTGTCTGCTTTGACGTTAATGTTATGATTTAGAATTAGTTGTAAATAAATGCTATATTATTTGAATTTTAAATTAAAGATATTATAGAAATAATGTTTTCTTTTGAATGATTTCTTACGGTAAGCAGTACTTTTACCCTAATTATGAGTCCAATGTTTTCCAGATTCATATTAGATTTAATTTTTATAAAATTTTGGGGATTCAATTATGGAACTATGCAAACAATTATCATTGGACATAACTGACGTGTAAAGTAAAATCTACCGGTAACACATGGTTTGGGACACAAATGCCCGTAATGAGTAGTCTCTATATATTCTTATGAGTAATACATTAAGATTAGAGTATCTTATAACTAGTAATACGGTACAAGATTAACGAATTTTAAAAGCATATGGCTTAAGCTGTACGGTATATGGATTTCTATAGTTAGAGATTTCAATAAAGTTTGATTCATTGAATGAGACAATACTTTTAAATATTAAATAGAAATAATATGCTACATTATTAACATAAATTTATCTAAATTCTTGAATGTATAGCAATGATATACAGAGTATTAATGGTTAACAGTTAACTGTAATGTATTTATTGAACTCACTTAAAGAGCAAACGAAACTCATATATAGTATAATA